TTTGCAGTTTCTCTATTTAAATGTTCCATTACAAATCATTGTTTAAAAAATTAGGAAATAAATTTAATTGCCACGTTTTTGCAGTTGAACAGACTGTAACGACTAATATATGTAAAAGGAAAAGAATAAATTTCCTTATGTATATTATTCGAAAATATAATTACATTAAATGTATTGATTTTCAATATATACTAATAAACATATGTTAATATTTGCAAAGAAAAATAGAATGATTTTCAAGTACTATCATTTCAACGTAAACTTTTAAATACAAGAACATATTATTTAATATAAGTGGAATTTACAAGTATGGAGGCTTAGAATTGAAAATGAAGAGTTTCAAGACATAGCTTGAAAAATGTAGAATACCGTAAAAAATGAGTATTACAGAATCAGATTGGAAAATATGGAAAATACTTTCACCAACAATTGCAAGAGAATGCTGACTTGTCTCGGGACTAGCACGTGTTTTAGAGAAAAAATTTAGTTACAGCTAAACGTCACAGATGGCGCCATTGGTTCTTAACTGTCGTTAGAATAATGAATTCACGGGATTTCGATGGTCTTAGATCAATCTTTTCATCATTACTTTATTGAAATGATGTACAGAACGCTTCAGTTTGTATAATTATCAACATAGACTGTAAAAGACTTTAATATAAATATAAATGTCGTTAAAATGACGCGTCACCTGAGTATTCAAAATGACGTTACCATCAAAAAGAGTATAGATGAATTTTAATGTATCAACCTCGATTAAATTTCTCAGCTCCTTTCATATCATCTTAAGTAATTGTGCTTAAGGTTATAGAAAATTTAAAAAACACGCAATTGCAATACGCTATTATTAATATTACATTCTCTTCACCTTCCCCACACATTATAATTGTAAAATGTAACCGTCAATACCACATGCACCTTACCTTTAATACATTTTGCAATTGCAAAACACTGCCTTTACTGTTGCATTTATTTTACTGTCCAACGATGCAATTTAAACAAGCTACAAACATGTTTATGCATTTAATTATGCGTTTACTGCAAATGACGGTGTGGTAAACTGTAAAACTCTGAAACAGAGATTGTTACTGCAACCATTAAAAAGATGCAACATAACTTTTCCCATCAGATTATCATCCTTGTTTAAGAAGGACAGTTTCGAACAAATTTAAAAACCTAATAAAAAACGCCGTAAAATACTTTCATGACGCAGTCATACCAACTTCGCAAGTATGAACTAACCACGTTATACTGCACATCTAAAGTTGTGCGCTAACGTCGAATAGTAGTTTTTGAATATAAATAAGTTGTTATCAAATATGATTCGTTATCATCACAATATCACTAAATTACAAGGAAAGTTTACCAGGTGTACTGTTACGTCCACGTAACAACTCAACCAGCAAATGCCCTTGACATAACCTTGTGTTTTGCAAATTATGTTATGGGAAAAAAAAGTCGTTCGATTTTTAAATACTGAATTTTTCTCGACTCAATTTGCATACGATATTAGTTTTTCTCAGGAAAACGTCTATCGATTTTTGTATAACGTATTTTTTTCGACTCAATATTTTTATTGTATTTTGCAGGTGTTATACTGTAACAATATCTCAGGAATTAGTTTATCATAACAAAGAAAGTATACCAGGTGTATTGTTACGTTCCACGTAACAATCCAACCAGCAAATGCCCTTGACATAACCTTGTGTTTTGCAAATTATGTTATGGGAAAAAAAAGTCGTTCGATTTTTAAATACCGAATTTTTCTCGACTCAATTTGCATAAGATATTAGTTTTTCTCAGGAAAACGTCTATCGATTTTTGGATAATATATTTTTGTCGACTCAATATTTTTATTGTATTTTGCAGGTGTTATACTGTAACAATATCTCAGGAATTAGTTTATCATAACAAAGAAAGTATACCAGGTGTATTGTTACGTTCCACGTAACAATCCAACCAGCAAATACCCTTGACATAACCTTGCGTTTTGCACATTATGTTATGAGAGGGAAAAGTCGTTCGATTTTTAAATACTGAATTTTTCTCGACTCAATTTGCATAAGATATTAGTTTTTTTCAGAAAAACGTCTATCGATTTTTGGATAATGTATTTTTTTCGACTTAATATTTTTGTTGTATTTTACTTGTTTTATACTGCAACAATATCTCAGGAATTAGTTTATCATTAACGGAAAACCAAATATTTGATAATTTTATACGGTGTTGTTGCATCCCGTTCGATGGGACGATAATGTCATGGAGGTCTGTTTGTTTATTGTTTGTTTGGATTTCGGCCCTTTTCATTAATTCTTAGAAAAATACAACCATTTTGTAATTTCCTGTCCGCCAATTAGAAATTCGAAATTATGTTCTCGGATTTGAATTCAGCGGCCACGAATACCGTGAGGAACTTATTTTTATAAAAATTCAAGCATTTATATATTTTTATCCGCCATCTTAAATTTCTAAATTCTGTTACCAGATTTGGATTAAGCGGTTATAAAAACCAGGCCAAACCGTTTTTTATAATAATCCAATCAATTTGAAATTATATTATTCGCCATATTCGATCCGCCATTTTGAATGTTGAAATTCGCATTTTGTTGTCATATTTGAATTCAGCGATTCCAAGATTCTAGAGAAATCTTTTTTTCTTCTAGAAATCAAATCAGTCTGAAATTTTTGTCCGCCATTTTGAATTTTGGAATTATATTACCTGACTTGGCTTCAGCGGTCTCAAAAACATCAAGGGACGTTTTTTTTTTCTTTATAACTCCAATCAATTTAAAGCTAGGATGGGTATAGTTCCTTTTCGTTCCGCGCGAGACGGTGTTGCTGTGAGTTTCTCGCTCAAAAATGTATTTGGCTCGAAACTCTATCGAGTNATATTTATAACCTAAAAATGTCATCAATTTCTAACCTGAAAAAATATAATGTTGTCGATCTCAATAAGTTAGTTATTGCTTATGGCTCCAGAGTCTATCGAGCAGACTCTAATGCGATCTCAATAAGTCGAAAAGCATCCATTTGTCGTTATATAGAAGAAACGACGCGTCAACACGTCGAGGATGAAAATCAATCAGAACTACAACGAACGTGACCACGAGGTTAAGCGCATTTCTCCTTGGTTTTTCATCCTCAATGCGTCGTACTCGGTGTGATCGTCGATCGTTGCAGGGCTGAGCGCCATAGTTCATTATCATTCCGCGAGAGGCGCCATCGAATGTCGTACAAAAAGTCGTATGAGGGTTGACCTATCATGTGAGTGCGAAAATGGTAGTTCGTGACTGGGGGGACGGCGATGACGATATGAGAACAACGATTCTGAGAGTGCCGAAAACTTTATCGTGCCATATCTTTACGTACTTAGCAGCAATCAGAGTCGGGTAAATTTTAAAAAATTCCTGATTTTTTACTGAATTTTTTGAGTCCATCGAAAGTTTATTTCTTTATCTGTAGCAAAGAAGAAATTATATTTTCATTTCCCCCACTCCTGAAATCCAAATCCTTACTGTATATAACTCTGTAGCGTCTCGCTCGAACTCAACGCGGAGGGCGCGTTTCTCGCATCGCTCAACGCTACGAGTTTCTCGCTCAAAAATGTATTTGGCTCGAAACTCCACCGAGTTTCTTGATTAACTGCATGAAGAAGTTACAATACGCACAGTAAAATGGAAGGTTTATCTGGGAGCTGTAACCACATATTATAGTAACGTTATACCCGTTATAAGGTTACTTTAAACTTGCCTATGTGATTACAGAAACAATGGTTTTGCCCCATTAGTTTTGGCACTGCCACCAGGTGGCAAAACTTCTCGCAGGCGATGCAAACTGCTCGTTTTGCATGTAAAAATATGTTACAATTTCTTACGTTTTAGTTACAATGACCGCATCCATTCCCGAAAAAGAGGGAAAAGGGAAGTGATCGTCGGGAAACCACGTCTTTGAGCATTGAATGATATTTTATTCGATGAGGTAGAAATGTATGAAAGCACTCATAGTAACATAAGTATAGCGTTTGTAATAATAATAATTGAATTTTTTATGTCAACGGTAAATTTTTTAATGGATATTCACAACTATGCATAATGTTGGAACAACTCGTTCCTCGTAGTTACCTTGACTAATCATGAAGTAACCCTTACTATGTTCTTTTTACTCTGTTATACTGGTTAAGGTGATATGAAAGGCGCTGAGAATTTTAATCAACGTCGATAAATTAAAATTTATCTACAATACATCCCTTTTGGTGGTAATGTCATTTTGAATACTCAAGTGGTAACATAAGCTGACGCGTCACGTTACCGAGATTTATATTTATGTTGAAGTCTTTTACAGTCTACGTTGGGAATTATACGAACTGAAGCGTTCCTTACGTCATTTCGGTAAAGTGATGATAAAGAGATCGACGTAAAATTGTCGAAATCCTGTGAATTCATTATTCTAACGACTATTTAGGATCAATGTACGCCATCTATGACGTTTAGCTGCAACTCAATTTTTGCTCTAAAAACACGTGTTAGTCCTGAGACAAGCCAGCATTCTCTTGCAATCGTTGGTGAAAGTATTTTCCCACCTCACTATGTAATATTCCATTTCTACGGTATTCTAAATTGTTCGAGTTAGGTCCTGAAACTCTTCATTTTCGATTCTACGCCTCCAAGAAGCGTAAAAACCCGGAACCGTGCACGGACCACGTGCATGTTAGTTCCAGTCCATGATAAATAAATTAATTTTTGATGAAAAATTAAATTTCGAGAGTTTTAGGACCTACTTTAGGGCCTGCATATTCATGTGGTAAAATTTAAAACGAATGGGTACACCCAATTCTGAGAATACTTTCATCAACGACGTGGCTTCCCAGATGTATATCGGCTGATTGTTTCATATCACCTTAATGCAACCTCCTCCCACGGTTATCCCGTATATGGCCTTGCAATAGGGTTACGATTCCCGTAATTGTGGTTCTCATAATCATTCTTTTTTTTCTGTGTAGCTGAAGAAATCTTGAAGAACATGAACCCCAACGAGTCGCCTTGTGATGACTTCTACGAATATGCTTGTGGAAATTTTAAATACCATCATCAACCTGGCAAATCTCAACTCACTACGAATCAATTTAGAGTACTTGAAAGAAAGACAAATAATCTTCTTCAAGGTATGACTCATTTATACTTCTTTTATGAATAACAACTCATTTTAAAGTACTCATTCAATGTCGCAGATATTCTTTCTCAGCCGATCATAGATGAAGACATCGAATCTTTGAAGAAAGCAAAACTGGAGTATCAATCGTGTATAGATAAAGGTACGATAAATCCTCCATTGTGACAATTAAAAATAAGAATTCTGATAAAAGAAGGAACTCTTAAGTGAAGTGAAAACCCCGCCAAATCAGTCGATTCGATTAAGACACTTTTTTCTAAGGGTATTGGATAGAATCGTTTGAAACTTTGGTGCATAATTCGTGAGCACCAAGGAATCATCCTGACACTTTCAAAATTAGGATTTTTGAAAACAATTTTTTAACTCACAAGGAAACATTCCCAAGTGTCCGCCTCCGATCTTATTGAGTTTCATATATGTTGAAGAACACAAAAATCTAAGAGACACGTGTTTTTTTATATCTGCAATGGTCCACATTTAAGGGGTGAAACAACCCCCCAAAGTTTAGGGAAAAGTCGGTTTTTTAAATATTTTTCGTAGAAGCAGTGGAGGGATTTCGACGAAACTTTGTATAANGGTAACGTCTAGGGTAATTCGTTACCATACAAGGGTGGCGGCGTTACCGACGGCATATCTTAGTAGCCGCAGCCTATGCAGACGGCGCTGCATTTATTAGGGCCCCTTTTTTATCGACACCATCCCAGACCCAGGGGCCGGATTCGGAGTTGCTTATCGCCTTTCACATCACCTTTAAAACGAACTTGTTCGACGGTCATTTGAATCCCTGAAGATCCACGACGAATTCCGTTTCTTTACCGCGCAATTGGCAGAAGATCGGAGCTTTTTATACCAATTTCTTCACCCAACCACTGATCGGGTTGTATTCGAAGATACGATCGTGTAGGATTAAGCAGTATGCCGAAGTTTCGGCGGGAAAATTATTTTCTGCCTCAAACTCGAGACGAATGTCGACCGGCCCGAACTTGAGGGACTCGTTTTGTTTGGAACAATCAACGACGATCAGCGGTGCATACCCCAAAAATTCGTTCTTCGTCAACAGAGGCTCGGGATCTTTACCGTAGTATGCAGCTTGAAAATTTGCGTATATCTCGTACAACAAAGCAAATTGATTGCGACTAATGTCAAGATTAAGATTTCCATACGGGTAACATTGCGAATTCAAAAACAGTTTAACGTCTCTGACATTGCAAGGATCGAAGTGACTCGCGTTTTTATTTTTCTTATTCTTTCTACTCGTTTGGAATCCCAATATAACGTATCGTAGTTTTTCTAGCTGCGTCGACGTCTTGACGGTCCATACGTGTTTCGAAGTGACGGGAAGAAGAGGATATTCGTATAACTCCCAGGTACGGAAACTCATGGAGATGGGCGCGTCCTTCTCGATGAATCTCAGCAGCTCGATCTTTTGGCGATCCGAAACTCTTATGTACGGTATCAACCATTCTAACTTTTGAATTACGACTTTGAATTCTTCCGCAGCAGTTTGCACGATCGCATTGGTGTCGCTCTTCGCCCTCGTTAGGATCAATTCGTGTTTGGCGTTAACGACGATCCTGCGATAATCCTCGGCAAATCCCAGAATCATGTTCAGCGGTATCGATACGTCAAAGTAGCCGGCCGCATCGGTCAATTTCCCCTGCTCGTCGAGCCAACTAGCGTTTTCCATCAACCAGCGTTAACCGGGAGCTAAGGAAACGTAGCCCTTCATGAGACTCGTGAGATCGACGTTCTTGTTTCGATTGATCTCTATGGCGTTCAATTCGTAGCGAATTTCATCGAAGAGATGGCAAACGGCGTTGTTGACCAGAGTCGTGCTCGCTATCGCCGTAATTCCATCTTCTTTGACCAGTTTACCGTATACGTCCAGCGAGCTTTTACTCGGTAGTAAGCACAGGTCTTGGTGTTGTACGGAAATTCGAATCTCGGCACTGTTGTTGAACGTTGACGAGGCGTAAGGTTGGTGTGCATGAGTTTCACAGTGTGCTATAGACTTATCGAAGATTACAGGTGTCTCAATGTTCAACGTTTCCTCCTCCATGGTAAACGATGCAGCAGCAGCAGAACCAACGTTTTATGGCCTTTTTGACGTGACCTCGAGTCCTAGACTTATCAGGAATAGCACGTTCTGACGTGTCAACGCTTTGAGAAGGGGACGATGGCTGATGTCTTTTCGACATATCGGCCTGCTATTATAACCGTCGCCGATCTTTCTGTTGTAAACGATTCCCATCGTTAAAGGGATTTCATATGCAGCCTTATCGTTATTACCTCTCCTTGAAAATTCACCAAATCACCATCTTGATCGACTATTCGAAGCTGTAGGTGATCTATCGTTTTCGTTGCGATCGGTAGGTAGATGACGCGCGATGGCACATCTATGGTTTTATATCCTGACGGCACGATCGGGAAGAACTCGTGTATGGTGTGCACTTTGCGATCGTTGATGTAGGCGCCTGTGGTAATGTTACATTCGACTCGTAGAGCGCTCACTTTGAGAATGGCTACAGGTACATCGGACGCGTGTAATTTATTAGCTTTCAAAACGCGCGGAGTGAAGCCCAACAAGCGACCTATGGAATCGTCCGGTAGAAAATTGATGTCGCGATTACATTTAACCTCGGTACATAACGTATTATTGTTAGCTCTAATATTGACGACGATACTCTTATCCTGCAACGCGCTCTGTACGTAGCTCTCGATATCCTCGATCTCATAGCTTCCGGTAGGTATAGTTATAATTTCATCCCCCACGTAGAACTTATTGTGACCGGTATCCACGTTAGGGATCGAATTAAAGATTAACAGTTCGATGAGTCCGAGGACATAATTTTTATATGGAGAAAGCTCGATAGGAGGAAAGTATTGAGCTTCGAGTACAGAGGAGGTGCCCGACAATGTTAACGTGAGTGAATCTTCTATGAACGCGGACGTTAGAGTGACGTCGCAAAACTACGTCTTACGTTTGTATAAACGATACTTATTCGTACGATTTAATTGTCCGCATAAAAACTTTAAGCACAAGTGACAGCATTCGAAAGTATCATACTTCTATATCTCTCGTAATTGTACTTTACACTACCAACACCGAGATACCTCATAAGATCTAACGGTGGTCGAAGATTGCCAAAACTATCGAAATAGATAACTCGATCGTCCGTCTTCTTATATGCGACTCAATGCGTTCCAGGACTATCTTCGTCATCGAGATTGACTATCACCGATTCATGTCTGTACGGACCATTCTTCGGCATGGCGTTTCTCATAAAGACTCCTCGAAAATGTGGAATCTTTACGACTTTCGCATACTTATGCAGATCCGCATCGGTTAACGCTCGGCGTGGTAGTTTCACTTCAAGTTTTTTTTGGTTTCACGTGAAAACCCAATCCTTTCCTATACGGTTTCAAGTACAGTCCTTTGCCCAATGCAATAGCTTCCATCGTCTTGTTGTGCCTCTCGCTTTCCTTCAGTCGTGCTTTGGATGCATACGCATCGTTCACAGCTTTAGCTATACCGGCCAGCGCTTCAGCGGCACTTAGACCCGCAAACACGGGAACGAGAAACGGCAAGAAACCTCCGACTTTGGATGGCACGAATAAAATTCGCGGACGACGCACGTTACGTTTTCCGCCGGCTCTTTTAACGACCATTCGTACTCCTTTGAGGGCAGATTTGATGGTGATCCGCGCATCGTTACTCGGAATCATCGATCGTTTCGCTTCATCGATAACTTTTCGCAGCGGTATCTTCCTCTTCTTGATCCCCATGCCAAATTTAGATTTAGCCTTCATTAGATTCGCGACGGTGAAAGCGGCCGCTTTTTCGGCCATGTCGGCGTCACTCACGAAAACGCGTTTCCAAGCTTTTTCGGTTAGCACTCTGTCCGCTGCCCCTCTTTGCTCGAGATTTTCCCGATTCTTCGAATAGGCGATGTCGTGCTCTTTACAGGCAGCGTCAAGGGGGTGAATACCAGGATCACCTCGTGCCAGTCTTTTCGCTAATTTTGTACCAGGCCCGCAGTACTGATAGCCGGGTATATGCATTTCAACGGGAAGACTATTGATAATCCTGTTAACCAAACGTCCCCCTTTGGGCCGCTTACCATGCACGATCATATTCGCTTCCTATCGTGGAACGACTCCAACTGAACTATGACCTTTATAAACCCAATATTTATCAAGAAACTCGGAGCGTTGAGCGACGCGAGAAACGCGCCCTGCGCGTTGAGTTCGAGCGAGACGCTACAGAGTTATATACAGTAAGGATTAGGATTTCAGGAGTGGGGGAAAT